ATACTTTCTTCTCTAGAAATCCTAGCTAAGGATCCAGTAAATTAATTTTTTACCATTTTAAGATAATTTACCATTTTAAGTTAAGAAAGCAAGACTGAAAAATAGGGAGGTTATCTTTTCATCTGTAAACGAAACAATTCTGACAGGGTAAAGTCTCCTGCTATTACATAAACATATAGCCTACCCAGGTCGTTAAGATGTTTCAACCACTTGTGTACTTTGGGATCCACTTCTTCCAGCTCACTCAGCACCTGGATAAAACCCCTTGTTTTCACTCTGTTTTTTTCCTTAGTTAAGTAACTGATGAGCTGCTCCATCACTTCATGTGACATGCTGCTAGTTTTGGAATATGATGGGTAATCCTCCTCACTGATTACAAACCATGAAAGTAATTCCTCTAATAGTTTGGAAACATCATGAACAGCTGTTTTTATTTGCTTAGCATTTTGACTGATACACTGCAGGACGCGATCACCAGCATATAAATCCTGAGCATAACCTACAACATGATTTAAAAAAAAAAAAAACAAAAAACAAAAAAACAAGATTTCATGTTTGTTTGCCACAACTAAAAACATCAACTTTCATGCACAGATAATTTAGACTAAGGGGTGGTTTTACTTTGCTTTACCACAACACTGAAAATTCACAGAATATCTAACTTTCTATTTAAGCTAGACTTAGCATTATGAATTTGACAAAACATTGTTTTAAATTTGGTTTACACAAAGAAATAATCCATAGCACTTTAACTACATTTCAGAAACAAAAAATTTTACCTGCCAGTAATAGCAGCTTCAAGCAATAGTCTACACAGATTTATCTATGTGGAATGCACGCCAGCAGAGACAGAACTCCCACAAGCATCAGTTCCCAGAGCAAAGGCACACATCTGAACATTCGAGCATACACCTAGTAGAAAACCTTTGCCCTGACCCTGCCACTGGTTCTTTGTGGAACAAGTGTGAAAAAGATTACTGGTTCATATCAGCCTTCACCTTTCATTATTCTTCAAGGCCATACATTTACAGAATGCCACTTTCAGAGCTTAATTGACAGTAACTGTAGTCAAAAGATGTAGATCTGAATTTCTTTTTTTTTTTTAAATAAAGCACTACCTATCACATCTAAAATAATTAAGCATTGTAGCACAAACAGTTCCAAGGATACTGACAGACTCGATGAGCTCTACAGGTATAAGCCATACCCAAGTTTATCCTGCAGGAGGAGTCTGCATTAAAAACCTCTGTACCTTACAAATGAGCACAAGTGCTCCACTCACTTGCACCCCTCTCCAGTTTACAAGAAGATTTATTCTTATTTAAAGGTAGCTATGGCTGCTAAAATCAAAACAAAACAAAATACCACTTTGTGATCTAGCTCTCCCCTAAAACTGGCCTCTCAACCTCTCAGACAGCTTGAGAGATAAAATTAGATTTTTTTTTTTTTTGAAGACTTCATCACAAAATTTCCCTAAGTGAAAAAACAGGGTAATGGATAGCTTGTCTCCAAAGACATGCAAGACTTCAGTTTTATTACGGAACTAACTCAGGACAAATTAAAAAGGTTGGCCAACATGAACACACAGATTTTTGCAGAACCATGTTAAATTGCTTGGTGTTGACATATTCCTGCATCAGTGTCCCAACTTTTAGCCACAATGCTTCAGGGTGAGTGCTTTTTTCACACCAAAGGCATTTTTACTTCTTAGAAGTTTTAAGGGCGTTTAGGACAGTCAAGTCACGTACATTTAACTGAGTGACCCTCCGTGGATGCAAGGACCATAAGCCATAGGAAAGGAGATAGCTTAGACTTTTAAAAAAACACCAACTCAACTGAATGTTATCTTAGAAAACCACATGGAAGCAAAAATAGTGATCTATGGTGCTAATGGGTGGGACTGCTCTCAAACAAAATGGTTAAGGGGAAAAAACTAAAAAGCACCAGGATATGCCACTGAACAGGCAACGGGGCTCTGGAGAACTCCGAGTATGGCATGTATGGGATGAAACAGTGCCCTCAAAGTATTTAAAATGAAATTCTACAAGGAAATTAACATGTACACTATTTTACAGTGAATAATACAGAGAAAATTTTTTTTAAAAAAGCACCCATTTTTCTTTGCCCTGTAGCTTGCCCTAATACAAAATGCAGTGGAAGGCCACACCTCAGAAACATAGAATAGTGCAGACCAACATAACTGGAACACAAAAGCTGAAGCATTAACTGCCTACATACTTAGGCTGAAGTATTTTATTCACCCAAGTCCTCTGAAATATACTTTTCAAGTCATCACAGTTTCTACAGTTAGGATATTATTCTTTCTTTATCCGAGATGCAGTTCTTGTTTTTTTGCTGTAGCAGTGTTCTAACTTGTAGGGCATTAAGCTTTTTCTGAAACCACTTTTAAATAGATTAACTTGGAATTTGAGCCAATGCCCTCTTCAGGCACCTTCTTCATGAACCACTGAAGTAAGAATAAAGGTTTCTACAAGGAACATAACCATACACTAACATCTTACCGTTATTTAAAAATTAAAACCAGAATGTAAATAATCCTAAGCAAAAATACAAGTCTTTAAGGGGGAATTTGTGTTAAATATTAATATTCTGCTACAACTTGACTTCAGACATTCAGAATGCTAATTATGCTACCTCGTGATAACTTCAAACAATAATCCATACTTCCACATACCACTGTGATCAATGTATTGAGATCGTTCATTTCCTATCTGGTTTTCTTCTATTTTCTTTTTAGCAGAATTCTGTGCCTCTTCTCGTGCACGTTTTCTTTGTAATTTTTTTTCTTGTTTCATTTTTAACTTCCTAAGACTGAAGAAAAGCAATTAAGTGGTGAGACTAACATTGGTTGAGGTAAGTTGCCAAAGGAGTTAGGCACATCTCAGTTGTTTTTCATGTCTTACAATAGCTATAAGCTCCATTCTGCTATAAAATATAATGCTGAAAAGTACAACCATAATAAAGCTAGTTTTCATTCAGAAGTTAAAATACCACAAAATTTTATAACAGTTTCATAAAGAACAAGTATGCAAGTGTAAGAATATCCTGAACATGCAATAATTTTCACTCCCATTAATGTCTGAATAAGGATTAACTTAAATACTACCATGTTTTTTCTTAATTTATAACTTAACATTTTGAACCAAACACTAACATTTGATTTCCTTACCTTTTAAAAATAAATTTTGCTCATCCTCTCAGCATGAGTCCTCATTATTCATAACATTACTTAACCAAAAAGCGTAACTCAGTTACATCAAAGGTGTGTGCATCAACAACAGAAGTAGCATCATTATACACAGTTCTTATTTACACTTTCTAAACTTTCACACAAAGTTGCTTAGATAGTGAACGCTGTAGAACAGTGGTGTTGAACCTATGCCACACAGCACTACCTCTCCCATCCAGCTAAAAATCTTGCTGAGTTTCTTCCCTGTAGCAAGGGGAAGGAATAGAACAATGCTTGCAATCTCGGACTGAAAATAGAGGTGGTATTCTAATCTAGGTGCACACGCAGTAAAAAAAATTGAGTGTAATTAAGACACTCAATCCATTAAGAACAGACACCTTTTCTTTCAGCATTCCAATTGTTAAGTACCTCAGCAGAAATAAAAGACGTGTACAGAGAACAAAAGAAAGAAACAGTCCTCAAGTTCTACACACAGCTTCCAAATCACACTTTTCTCAAACAACGTTACTTCCCTGCCCACAGATTTCACAGTGAAATTAGCTTTCAGATATAAAGACTTCAAGATGACTGCAGCAATTTATATTTGAAAACTATTGGTACAAACTGCCAGGAGGTCAATGGCACAATGTACAATTTATCCCTCAATGCAGAGGTGTGGGAAATCAGATTTGCATCAACTCATATCCTGTAGATCTGAGAACAGTTTCCTGTGATTAAATTGAAAACATTCTTTTTAAAGAACTGTAGGACCACTAGAGCTACCAATAATGTATTGAGCAATATCAGTTAATGGCCTCCTGTGCTTGTTATAAATCTGTAGCTCTGCATCTTCTCTTACAAGTAAATGTAAATGCTTTTATTATTGGATCATAATGTATTTTATCAGACTTTTTAGTTTATCAGAGGCAAGGGGCAAGAAGAGCTGCAAGGGGCAAGAAGAGCTGCAAGGGGCAAGAAGAGCTGCAAGGGGCAAGAAGAGCCTTCTGAAGTATTTCTGGTATTATAACAATTCTTTAAAAAGCATGAAAACCAATCCCAGAGAAAACTGTTTTGTGCTCATATTGATCCAACTTGAACAGTAGAGAGCTTACCTTGAACATTTCTGTTTAATACTGGCTCTTGGGGGTTCCTTGGGTTTTGTGATTTTTTGTTCAAGCTATCAAAATAAGTGACATCATATTAATTAAATTTGAGTTACAATGCAACATTGCTGTACTTGAAACCCAGGAATATTTGATGCTTTGGAAAACAGTAAAAGTAACACTACAAAAGAGATAATGCAGCCTACATAAGCCTCAAGAAAGTCTACCTAAAATTATCTTCTGTTACAACTTGGCATATAGCAATACTTCTTTATCTGCAGAAAAAAAAGGTTGAAAGATAACAAAGTCGTGAAGAACTGAAGGCTGTTTTGCTTTACCAGTGGGCAGAAAGCAAATTTTACAATAAATTTTTTTTTTTCTCCTTTTCCTTCTCATGGAGCAATACTGCTCTGGGAAGAAGTATCCATCTTCCCGTGACTCTGTAGAGGGTAAGAGCCCTCTTGCAATCCCATTATTTCATTTAGCAGGATTAGCTCTGATTTAAACTAACAGTTCATTTCATTTTGCAGAAGCTAAATATAAAATTAAGTTCCAGTTCCCATCCATGACAATTCTAACCAATACCATAAGGTAATGCCTGCTCCAACAGAACAGGTAAGAAGAGAACAGGTAATTAATATTCCTAAATAATGCTCAGATTCTGTAGTTAAGATAGCATATTACTTATGCATTTGAAGTTACATTCTCATTTTCACTTTATCTCCTTTACCAGAGTAAATATTTTAAATATTATTTTCATATTTTGTATGAACATTTACTTACTTCACATTTTACCAGACCAGAAGAACTGAAAATAACTATTTTTGAAATAAGGCCTGTACAATCCGGAGTGAAACACATCTCTTGAAGAAAATCCTGTAGGAGAAGATGATACACACAACAAAGACATTTAATTTCATATAAAAATCTATGTTCCTACACAGATTACATTTTCTTAATTTGAGGTAACCAAGGCAATTAAAGCTACCACAGTCCTAAACTCTTACTGGATGAGGAAAGCAAGTCACAGCTGACTTGGCAAGGACTGCAAACCAAAAGGATCCTAGATCTACGGCATATACCTGTTATTCCCAAAGCTATAGCAAAGCCCGTTCTCCTCCAACTTCACATTCAAGAGCCACCTTCAAGAATATTCTTTTTATGAGTTCATACTCTGTCTGGATTTCCCTTCATTTTATACTGGCTGCTGATATTGTATTTTCTAAAATTCCTTTAGGTATACTCAATGTCGAACTGTTGCTTCAACAGCAAGACCGTTGAAGGAATAAAATATGGGAGGGACATAAATGATGTAAGATAAACAGGCTAAGCATACTAAGCCGTCACACAGACAGACCTTTCTTCTGTAGACAACAGTAAGCTTTACCCACACTTGCATGTCAGAGAATTTAGCAAGAGACTCTTTCCTGTCTCTCCTTTTTGCCATTGTCATGCAGGTGGAACATCAGGCTGTAGCACTGCACTTATAAGAAACCAAAGGAATGCTATAATCTTGACCAAAAAAAAAAAAAAAAAAAAAAAGGAAAAAAGAAAATGCTTATTGTCAGACACAATCATTTACCTTATCATTTTTATCACTGTAGTTTGTCATTTTCAACTTTTTCCAACAGCTGATATGGAACTCCACTCTACATTGCTCACAGCAAGTAATACGTATAAAACCCTAACATGGAAAAAGAATAGTAACATCTTCAAAAAAAACCCCAAAAACAGAAAATAGCGCACAACTTAACAGTAGATAGGATAAGATGGTGTGTTCCAGATAACTCTTTAACATAAACTTGAGCAGAAAACACATAAACATGAAGTTTTATTTCCCCAAACATTTTAAACTAAAAATTTACCTTAAAGTCTGGGTCCGTAAAATATATTTGGATTTTGGAGTGTCCATGGCATTGCTGATATCGACAAACTGCATCTGGTTCTGGAGGGAACTTGCATTCCTCAATACAATTCTTTAAGATCAACTGAGAAACACAAAATGATGTAAGACAAATTGCACAGAAACCAGGAAAAGATTCAGTATCTACTTACAAACTTCTAGGGAACTCTGTAGTGAAACACACGTCTCTTTTTGAACAGCAGACAACTAATGTCAAAAGAACAACTCTTTTCTCGTGACCGTTACAGAAGATTGTGCTTTTTACGGCAAAACATTCAAAAGCTCATTTGAACTGCTATCAGCTAAGTATTCATAGCTTCCCTGTATGCAGGTTTCTCTCAGACCAATGTTTCATACGCTGACCAATTCCAAATGCATGAGAATGTTGTGTAAGTTTTCAATTTCCAAAATGAGCAGCCAGATTACTCAGATAACATGATGAAAAACGGACTGCCTGCTCACTTTCCCAGCATTTCAGTAGTGTGTCACCTGAGATCTGCATTACAGGATCAAGTACATTCCCAGGAACAGCTCAGACCTGGCCCTGCACTGGAACTAGTGAGACCTCCCAGAATAGCATTTGAGGTAAAGACATTTCAGTGGCTTTACACAAAGTCAGTTGAAGTCCCACAGGGTTGGCATTGAGCCCATATTAATAAAACATTATTAGAAACAAAGAGACCACCAGTTACAGCCTTTCAGATATTTATATCATGCTCTCCAGAAGTCCCAGGCCACTGATGTATTATTGTGGCCAGATTAATGTGGTGTCAGCTGGGCATCTATGAGAAATCTTTAGGTCAGTTTTTGTTTAGGAAACAACAGTACTTCTGCTCCTACCAGAAAGGAAACAGGTCAGTATAGCATAGCCAAGCCCATATACTGAATAACCTAGCATGTTCTACTGTGTCAAACTGCCTCAATGCAGAGGAGCTCATGCATCTTGCTTCTCATGTCACGGTTTATGCAGGAACCCTTCACAAATAATAGTCACTTAATTATAGTTTAAAAATAACAACAATAGTCATAACAAATAATAATAAAAAAAAACCTGTTCAGTGTGAGAAAGTAATTCGTAGTGTCAGAACCACAAGTTACACTTGTTCAAGTCAAACAGGGAATTTTACCATACAACTCCTACTGTATCAACCAAGAACTACATGGTCAAACTCCATTATTTGGTTTTAAATATAGTAACACTGCTGCAGTTTTCAACTTCACATTTTTGCTAATTCAATTTTTTAAACAGCTCTCTCTATGGTATTCACATCTACTTAAAGTTTGATAACATGCAGCTAAGGAGTTAATACATTATGAAATACTTGGAGCAGACTAGAACCATACTATTACATAGAAATACTCAACCATAGAGCCCGAAACAGAGCCTCCGCCCTTGTGCTGAAAATGGGATGCTTCCTAGGTATTCAAATTTGTCACCATAAGAAGAGTCCTGCTCTACAAAGACCAGGCCTTGGGGCTGACAATACTCTAGACAACAAGCAGCAGTACTTCACTGGCTGCTCCAAGCTGAAACCTCCCTTTCACCCCCAACCTTTCTTTGGCCTTATTAGTGGGGAGGCAGGGAGGAGGAGGAGAACTTTTTTTTTTTTGAAAGGTCATTTGATAGAACATGTTTTTAGGCCTTTAAAAAAAAAAACAACATACCTGTAAATTCTCTGTTCGTGTTTCTTCAATGACCTGAGATGTTGTGGGCCAAGTTAATACTCCAGGTACAATCTTGTGGTTAACCATTGTTCGTGATTTCATGAACTGATCAAGTGCATCTGAAAATCTGAAGTTTCAAATAGGTACAACATGTTCAGATCATACATGACTAACTTCTACATGGCTTGTAATACTTTCACAATTCATTTGATGATCCCAGGAAAAAAAAAAAGGCAAGTGTAAGACTATGTGGAATGAAAGAGCACCTGGTTCATGAAGTTATCTGTTTAAGCACTCTTGGTTATAAAAGACTTAAGGTGTGAGCCAGTAAGCCAGCCTGGGTAAGGGGCTCAGAGCCCAGGCATGGATAGGAGGCAGATTGAGAGCCTGTGCTGATATTCCAGGGACCAATGAATGTGGGCATGCTTGTCGATCTAGAGAGTGAGGGCACGCATATGCTCACTAGTGACCTTCAACCCTGACTACCTAGGGAGGAGGCACAGGACACTGCTACCCACACGTATTTTACAGGAGTTCAGGTAGCGCTATATATGGGAGCTACTCTGCCTGGGGTAGTCTGGGTGTCCACCTGTGATGTCATGTATCTGTATGCATGCACCTCTTTGGGACACACATGCAGCCTCACTACTGGTCAAAACACAGGAAAGAGACACATCCATTGGACTGGGACACAGACACCTCCTGGGTCTCAGACTGCACCTGGCTACACTGTGACAGTGGGAAGGAGGAATCCCCTCTCAGCATCCAACACTCTGACCACGTGCTTTTAAGATATTCCACATGAGGATTTAATGTTCAATACAAAACTTATTTTATTTATTTGGTATTGTATTGTGTTTACATGGCAAGGTGGGGGGAGGGGGGTGGGGGCCAGTGCTGCCAAGGTGGTCTCTGCAAGGAGAGGCCAGGGCTGCCCCATTCTGGACACAGCCAGTTCCAGCTGGCTCCAACAAACCCACATCAGGTCACAGCTGAGCCCCTCAGGCAAGATGGAGGCACCAAAGGGAAAGCATGGCTAAAAAAGGACAAAACATACTGCATGTCTGTGAAGAATAAGGGAAAAAAAGTGCAAGAAACAGCCCTTCAAGCACCAAGATAAGAAGGAGTAGGGGAGGAGGTGCTCCAGGCACAAAGCAGAGACTCCGGTGCAGGCCCTGGAGAGGACCCCGCTGGAGCCGATACCCCCACTGCAGCTGTGCATAGGACCTGCCAGAGCAGGTGGCTGTGCCCTGAAGGAACTGCAGCCAGCAGACAGGCCCCGTGCTGCAGAAGGGGAGGGGCGTGTGGAGAAAGGAGTGGCAGAGAGGAGCTGTTAAGGGCTGACCACAATCCCTGTTCCCCACCCCTCTACACAGCTCTGGGGAGGAGGAGGCAGAGAAGTCAGGAATGAGGGATTGACTGGACTCTGGGATAAAGAGCGGGGAGAGGGAAGGTGTTTTTTAGTTTTTTACTTTGTTTCACCACCACCAAACTATTTTACAGATAATAAATTAAATTATTTTTCCTCAAGTTGAGTCTGTTTTGTCTATGACTATAATCTCCCTGCCTTTATCCCTAGCCATGGGCTTTTTTGTGTTATTTTCTCCCTCTCTCTTGTTAAGGAGAGGGAGTGGGCACGCCAATGGGTGAGGGTCTGGCAGCCAGCCAAGGT